GAACAGCCGTTGCGATAACCGTAGTATTTCAGCGTAATATGAGGGGAAAAGGTGCCGGGCAGGGGGACCGGCAGTTTCGTAGAGATGGTGGCCGAAGCAAAAATTTGGTGGCCTTGGGCCTCCGGGTCGGCACCAATTTCGAACGCTGGCAAACACCCAAAAAAAATTTCCACCTCGCTGACCCTTTTGGCCAGGGGAAACAGTGATGTCACTGTCAGTACTAAATGATGTTATGTTTAAGGTTTGAGGCCTAGTAAGTACATGTAGGAGTGGAGCATCCACTCTGGTATGCCTGCCCTACGATCTACAAGGGCTCAAGTCCCACCTCCAAATTACGGATTAGATGTGTCAAATCCATCCGACATCCCAATGGAAGAGCCTGAAGAACAAGCTGCTAGTGAACAGTGCGTTATCATTTATTTTAACTATATTATTCGTTTTCGTGCAATTTGCATGTTTCTAATAATAAAATTGTTAATACATTATTTACCATGTAAGATAAAGTGTACATATGTACTTTTGAAATGTCTATGCTAGAGGCACAATGCTATTTTATTCATGTAAATGGGAAAATCTGTTAACTTACATTTTATTTCTATTGACTTACATATTTATTCCATTGATGACATTTTTGGTTTAGTACAGGTTATGACATATGTCTGTTAATATTTTTACTTAAATGACTATGCCAATAATCACAAAAAGATGTGATAATCAAGGATGATAGCTATATAACTGTGAAATTATATAAATAACATTCACACATAATATTGTAGATTGTTTGCAACAAATTCCTCAAGTGTATTAAATTTCTGCTCACCAGTTGTCTAAACTTGTGTATTTTTCTAGACAAGAAATGGAGGAAGAGCCAGAGAACATGGACGATGATGGTACCACAGAGCAAACTGTAGGCAAGGGACGTGGTAAAAGAAAGAAGGGCCAAGGAAAGCAGGAGGTGGAAGAAGATCCTATAGTACCTCCAGTATGTGGGAGAATAATAGTAATCTAATATCTACCGAGATCCCTGGGCACGTTTTATGGTTTGCGCCAAGACTTCGGCCAAATATGTTATATGTTAGTCACCAATGAAAACTCATAGCCGTTACCCACCTGATCATATAAAAAATAATTTTAAATAAAATAAATAATAAATAATGTTATTAAATTAATTTTATTACATCTGAGTTGGTGTTTGTACTAATTTGGTGTACATCTTGTTTTTAGCCTCAGAAGAAACCTCGTCGCTGTGGCAAAGGGAGAGGAAGGCAAGCACCTGTTGAAGATGGAGCAAGTCTTTTCGATATAGTCAAGGGCGGAAGAAGTGCATTGCGGGTACAGTTGGATATTGTAACTTCACACATGAGTTTAGCAAAAAAATGCATGTACCATATGGTGTAACTTGAGTGATCAACCGAGCATGCGTATGGCATAACATGGGTGCAGAAATGCATGGTACAGACCCATAAATTTGTTACACCGGGTTAGGCTGTTCTGGTCTGAATTGTTAACAACTGCTGATAAATGCTGGTGATAAATGCATTAATGAATGCATTTTTAATTGAGCTTTCATTAGCGACCAGTTGTGAGAATTGGAGGAACCAATATGAATTCAGGTGGCAAGGTCATATATATAAACAACACAAAATGTCAGTTATACTAGCGTGATATACTACTATATACGCCATATTTTCCGTGTACAGATATTTTCGCGAATTCAGACAATTTCGAGCGTGGTTAATTTCGCGGTTGGTGAATTATGAATTATTCGCGTGTTGTTATTTTTGCGGTTGGGGACGCGTTCGCGAAAATTAAACTACCGCGAAATATACAGCGTATACAGTATTCTAGCGTGACATTACGTAGCCGTATTCTGCGTTTTAACAGTCAGTGATTGACGACTGGATCGAGCGATACAAGCAGGACAGGGATCCGGCGCTGCTCGAGCTCATGCAGTTCTTCATACGATCGTCCGGCTGCAAAGGCTTCATAACGTCCGAGATGCAGGAGCAACTGCAGCATGCGCAGATCATCCGCAGAATGACGGAAGAGTTTGACGAGGTATGTTTGATGAGTGGGAGAAGTAGAGGTCGTCGGTGTTGACTGGTTGACGAAGAGGTGGTGTGTGTGTGTTTGTAGGAGAAATAGAGCTGGTGAGTTTGGATGGGAGAAATAGAGCAGGTGAGTTTGTGTGGGAGAAATAGAGGTGGTATAGGTAAAAGAAACAGGTGCTGGATGTGTGCGTACCTGCGTGCGTGCCTGCCTGTGTGCGTGTGTGCGTGCGTGCGTGCGTGCGTGCGTGTGTGCGTGCATGCGTGTTGAAGTAACAGAAGTGATAGGTGTCGATAGGAGTTGCTTGGTGTAGGATGTAGGAGGGAGAAACATGAGAGGTGCTGTGTGTGATGATGTAGATAGGAGAAATAGTGGTGGTGCATTTATTAGACATTCTTATCCATCTTACTTTATCATTTTTAGCTCAGCTGACGAAGTCAGATGCAGCTTGTAGAATCACATGAATGTCCGTCCGTCCGTCTGTGCGTCAACAGTGACGGCACAAATCTTAACCGCGCGACGTACGATCTTGATATTCGGGACGTTGGGGGGGGGGGATTTGCGAAAAGGACTCTGGATGTCGAATTTGGGGGTCAATGGTCAAAGGTCAAGATGTGTCAATGGAGGCGGAATATTTCCCCCTTATCTTAAGGTATAGGAGGAAATACGGAATTGCTGCACAAATCTCAACGGCTCGACCTACGCTCTTAATATTCGATGTATAGTGTGATGGGGAGGAAACACATCACCAGCGCAAAATTGGAGGTCGCAGGTCAAAGGGCAGTGGGGAAAAGGTCGATATCAGACATTTTCTGAGGACATGGTCTAACGGATCGAGTGCAAAACTTTTTTGTTTCAGCGCTGACTTACCATTTTATCACTTTATTGAAAGGACCGTGAAATCTACTTTCCGCTGACGTGCGAAGAGTAAGTGTGATAACCTTTTGACCCCCAAGAGGAGGGTTAAACATGGATTTGTTGACTGTTAACAAAGGACTGAACTGCTTTTGCTATTAGAGCCTCCTCAACCCGCCCCTCTCCCCACTCTCCCACCACCACGACTACGCTCGCGCTCGACGCATATCCATGATAACGTTAATATAGCAAAGTCATTAAAGTTACACAGCTATATCTTTATTACTGTACTACCGGTATAGCAAAGCCTATCAACGCGGTGGCGGGAGGGCGCACTTGATTCGGTTGCCAGTGAGTTTATCAGAAGAATACCCGGCTACAGTACACGTCAGTTGAGCGCTGTCGCTCTGCGGCACTTGTTTGCACCAGTTTTCACCTAGCATTTGTTTGTAGCTCATCATGGTAGTTCTTTAATGGTGGACATGGGGTATGAAGTCGCATGTTCGCCCAACGAAACTCTCGCTGCTTACAGGACAGCGGCGATTACCCGCTCATCATGGGCGGCCCGCAGTGGAAGAAGTTCCGTAACAACTACTGCGAGTTTGTGGCCGTGCTCGTGCGCCAGTGTCAGTACAGCATCATCTACGACCAGTACCTGATGGACAACGTCATCTCGCTGCTGACAGGCCTGTCCGACTCGCAGGTGCGAGCGTTCCGTCACACGAGCACTCTAGCCGGTAGGTGTAAGCGTGTGAACGAGCGTGTCTTAGTTGGTGTGGTCCAGTAGGTGCGAGCGCATGGACGAGTCTTAGTGGTAATAGGTGACTGCATCATGAGATGCACATGACTGTAGGGAGATCTCCTGTATAGCCATGAGAGGTGGGCTGCTTGTTGCCGAATTGTTAGTAATGTTGTTGGTGAGTTGTTAGTAATGTTGTTGGTGAGTTGTTAGTAATGTTGTTGGTGAGTTGTTAGTAATGTTGTTGGTGAGTTGTTAGTAATGTTGTTGGTGAGTTGTTAGTAATGTTGTTGCCGTGTTGTTAGTAATATGCGACGTGTGGTTGTGTCAGCGTAGCTTGGTGTTCCGAGTCTTGGTCACAATAGGTGATAGGTGCCTGCATCAGGTGATGCAGCTGACTGTAGGGAGCTCTCCTGTACAGCCAAGAGAGGTGGGGTACTTGTTGGCGAGTTGTTAGTAATGTGCGACGTGTGGTTGTGTCAGTGTAGCTCGGGTGTTCTCTAAGTCTTTCTCATTTTATTTGTTCATAATAGCATAGTACTGCGTCTCTGCGTAATTTCCCAGTCTGCCAGTACTGTGGGTACTTAATCAGAAGAATGTCATGTTAGCATGCAGGTCAGTCGTAACTCCTGTATGCGGCAGAGTGAAAAAAGTACATTGTTAAGATGTAGGCAGTATTTTTTTTTCTGTTTTGGTGTAAGTTTAACCCGTGGGATTATGTTAATTTTAGTGATGAAGCTGATGACAGCGTTGGTCGATGTTGCCCTAAACCTCAGTGTGAACAAGGACTTCACACAGCGGCAGTACGAGGCAGAGAGACAGAAGAACCAATCAAAGCGAGCAACAGAACGTCTTGAGCTACTCATGCAGAAGAGAAAGGAGGTAGGGGAAATGTTTTGTGATTTATATGTGTGTGTGCGTGTGCGTGTGCGTGTGTGTCCCTGAGTGTGAGCAAACTTTCTTTGTATAAAAATGACATTATTTACCATCATCGGCAATATTTCATGAATTGTTTGGTGCATTACAGTTGGAGGAACAGACAGAGGAGATCAGAAACATGCTGACCTACATGTTCAAGTCTGTGTTTGTGCATAGATATAGGTAAGCTGTGCTATTCACATTTTGAACGCCTAGTTGACGTAAAAAAAATTTAGTTGAATCGTAATATTATCTTTCTATGAATTAAAACATAGCTTTAGCATTTACAGTGCTTTCCCTGGTATATGATAAGCGAGGCTGCCTTGTTGATTTTTGGCTCGTCTTGACATCGTCAAGATGAGCTATTGCCATGGGGTGTCGTACGTCCGTCCATCAACATTTGGCTACGGTCAACAATAACTTGAGAACCGTTTGACCCACATGTTTCAAATTGTATATAGTTGTTACTCCTATGGGAGAGGTTTGAACTTCCTATTTTGGAGCACGCCAGTCCACCTACTTTCGAGCCACGTCCACTTTTTGGCAAAAATGGAAATGGCCATAAGTCAGTTCAGGTTCAACGGGTTTTGTTCATTTCTATTATGTGAATGAATAAAGACGGGCCCTAAAACATATCACACGGGTTTTGATATTTTGATTTGTTAACCAGTTAGACGAAATAAACGTAATAGGACGTTGTCATCTCTCCCATAGGAGTAACAACTGTTTTGGGGCTAGCCTTACACATTCACATATTATATAAATCTGTAGGCAATACATTATATCAGGAGTGTATCAATTTTGATACACTCCTGATTATATGTACCAAGCAAAACAAACATTCAACATAAAAGGTATCTCCACACAAGCACACCCAAGCGTGTAGACACCATGAATTTGTATAAAAGGCCCCCCTAAAAAAAAGCACACCTACCTACCCAAACTTTTCAGCCTGG